AGATTTGAAAATTTTGGGGGCTAGTTTTGGGTGAGTGACCAAAAAAAATAAAAAATTGAAAAAAAATAAATATTGATTGATTGGCTGTTTTTTATTGATTGATTTTTTGATTGATTGATTGATTGGTTGATTGATTGATTGATTGATTGGTTGATTGATTGATTGATTGATTGATTGATTGATTGATTGGTGAGGCCCCGTGAGGGAGGGGTCCTTCCTCCCCTCCCCCCGCACACGCGGGCACACACACATACACACACTCATGTACACACACACACACACACAGACATCCGCGCATTTCGTTTTTCATTTTTTTTAAATCTTAAACGAAGTCGGATTCCAATATAAAAAATATAGGATTGTAGGGTTTTCCAAGCCCTACAACCCTACATTTGTTTTTTTTTTTTACATATTTTTAGGGGTATACAAAAAATATTAAAAAAACAAGCCGCGGACCAGGCCTCATTGGCCGCCGCGGCCGACTTTTTCTGCCGCAGCGGGCCTAGGCCGCGGGTGTCACATGGATATCAAAGTCTATCATTCCTACGCTTCTCTGGATCATATCTGTCTAATTTGTAGTCTTGTAATGGATCCCCTAATTGGAGAATTGAAGTAATTTAATTTGTAATACTCTAATTGTTTTCTGATGTTTTTAGTTGTAGGAAAATCTTTTCTACTTTTACTCTGAATTGAAGTGTCTAATCTTTCTTCTCTGAAGTGAATTCGATTTTTGTGTCTTGTATTAGAACTTTTTGTGATGAACTTTAGACTTTGGTGATAAATTTCGTTGATTTTCCAGTGGTATGGCCTGCGGATTTGGCTGTAGGGTGAAATCTAGAGGTACCCTTGATGTGCTTGGCCGGTGATGCTTTGCCCGCCGAGGGCCCCACCTAATTTTGTGAGGGCCCACCTTTTTTGTTGCTGTTTGCGGGCCAGGCGTTTTGAGGATGCGTGGTACCTGGGTTGGGTTGGGGGGGATAGTTTATGGTTGGGGAAATTGCGTCCTGCTGGTGAGGAGGGCTAGCTCGTCGGGTTGGATTAGGGCAGAGCCGCAACTGAGATGGTGGCTTAGCTGTTGTAGGTCCTGCCGGAGAGAGGAAAGAGGTTGTGGGGCTGGTGCTGTGCAGGTAGAGGATGGTGGGTTCACCTGATTAGTGCTACTCCTCTCGTGAACTATGGGTGGATGACGTCTGCTCGTCGTGAGAGGAGGAACAGTTGAGGAAGGTGTCTGCTGTGTGGTTGTGGCTGCTATGTGGTGGAGGAGGTGGACTCATCGGGGGATGACGAAGTGTAGGGGGTTGGAGCGAAGAGGGAGGAACTTTAGGCTTTTTTTATGGTGTTATATTCATGGATCTGCGGTTTTTCGATGCCAGAACGACGATGACCCATGCTGGAGGTTTGCCCTGTAACCTGCTGATAGCAGGGCCGTGAGGCCTGGTAGAGAGATCTGGGGATGCCTTGGGGCGGGCATCCCAAGGGAAAACCAAGGGTTGCTGTCACTGGCCGGAGCTGGGGTGAGTAGTGTTGCCCTGTAACCTACCAGGGTGGGGGCATGAGGCCTGGGAGAGCTCAACTAGGAATAATACAGTATTAGAGAATTTTAGAGGGGTTCTGAGTACTCGAAGGACCTCCGGGGCTTTCCTGTTTACTTGGTAAGTGCTGCTTGAGTAGCCTAGCAATCTATGTATCACCCGCGGTCATGACCGCGGGCCATTTTACCGCATGCGGTCATGGTCATGCCCGCGGGGGGCAGCCGCGCGGCCAAAAAACCCCGTGATTTAAAGAAAATAGAATAAAAGGCCAAACAAACAAAAAAAAAAAAAGTGGTTGTAGGGTTTGAAATTCCCTACGTCCCCATATTTTGGTTTTTGGATTTTGATGCTATTGGGATTTTTTAAAATAGAAAACAAAAAAAAAAACAATTATTAACATCAAAAGAAACACAATTAAAAAAAAAGGGACTTTGAGAGGATCTGGGTCCTCGGCAGGCCTAAGGGTTTTTTTTT